AAAACGGAAGAAAAGAACCTCTTATTCCAAATAAAATAATTTAAAAATTAAAATCATTTACTAATTTACTAATTTACTTTATCCTCCAAACATCATATTACAATTTTGCCCTTATTCACATTCAAATAAAATAGGTAATTTTTATCATTTAAATATTTATTGTCTCGATTTATTTAAAAATAAAAAAATAAAAAAATTGAGTTGAGAGAAAGGGAAAAGGCAGGCAACTTTTTATAGAATTGGATTTTTCATATATATTTATATAATATATTTAATTTGAATTTGCAGTTCGTGCGGGACCGGTAAAAAGCATTGGTTACAAACCAACCACGGTTTGGAAGGAAGCTTCCAATTCCTTAAACATGTCTTTATTTATTATTTTTTTTTAATTTATCTAAATTTTAGAAATGAATGATATTTTCTATGGTTTAATTTGTTAAAAACTATAATAAATGTCACTGTGAAAATATAATATTTTAAAATTAAATGATTTTTTTTTTTTTTCTTGTTTGAATATTAAAATAAAAAAAAGTTATTGTGAATTAAATATTACCTACCAAGCTGAATCTATTAAAAAGGTGTTTTTAATAGAGGAGTTGATGGCCACATTTATTGCTGAGAAATTGAGGTAGGGAAATTAGGTATCTCGAGCAAAAGGGCAATTTTTTTTTTTCTTTTTCTTATTAATTTAATTTGATTTATACGCGTTAAATTACTTTAAAATTTATATTAAAAGTAACAGTATTCTCATCAATAGAATCTTGTAATGTCGAAATAATTTAATATGATATTTATTTTAATGGGTAGGTGTTGAAAAAGAATGACAAAGACATTCCTAAGGCTTTCATATAGAATAATTAATTTATATGTAACTTACTTTTTAAACTAAAAATTAATGTAAAAATAAAAATTTAAACTCAAAAACTTAATTAATTTGAAGGGTTTGAATATTAAATGCTGACATTTTCTCTGACTTCCTTTTGTGGTGACTCACTGCACTCCATTTTCTCTCTCTAAACTCAAAACCCTGAGTTTTTTCTTTTAAAATTTTCTCTCAAAATTTTTAAAAGACATAGAAAGAAGTTTTCACAACAATGTTTCGTTTTCTTCCTCGATGGATGTGAGATCTTTATGATATTGTAATTGAAATGGGTGAGTGACAGGCAGGTGAAGGAAGCATCCACTTTTTGCAGGAATATACAATTCAGGTTCTTCCACTATGAGAATTCTCTGTAGTGCCTGTTTGTAATAATCGAAGCTTTTTGTTGAAAAGTTAAAAAGAAGGGAAGATAGTGTTTATGATGATGATGATTGGTGAGAGAGGTGAAAGTGGGGGAAAAAAAAGCTGAAAATAAAAGGCAATTTTTGGAGTGGATTTATTAAAATTTAAAATTAAAAAAAAAAATTATCTTAAAAAATAATAATTGATTTTGCTTCCTAATCCTTTTATTGTCAATTTTTTTTTTTTTTCTCCTTTGTTTAATGATTTTGTCCATCACTTTGCCCATCATTTTAATACCCATTTCCTCCTTATAAAGATTTGACCATTTCTTCATCCCATACCATCACTATCTTTATTTTAGAACTGTTTTTATATCGGTATCTCCTGATTCTGTTAAGTTATAATAGTACAAATATTTTTCATTCAATAATTTATTTGTATCGAATAAAAATTTGTAATATTGTTGTCACATTTAACACGAACCAACCATATGGGTTAGTTTTTAAAACGATAGATTAAATTTAGATGGTTGTATCAAATTTTAAAATATTTTCGACTAAGTTTTATTTATTTATTTATTTTTTTTTTAAAATATTTTCGAATTAGCGGAGTATTGGCATAAGTTGAGTGTGGGCTTACGATCAAGGCCCATGTGGAATGCAAGCTTGAATTGAGTTGGGTTACTTGTTCAGGCTTTAACTTGGACTCTTAAGGCCCACGATTTCAGTTGGGCCATATGCCATTCATATGGCCCACTAGGTCGGATGAGTCATTGGTAAAATAACTTATTAAATACCCATTATAACAAAATATATTTATTCGGTAATGTGCCAACAAGGACACTAAACTTTTAAAAGGGATAGATTGGAGAGGAAAATGGTGTGCCAACGAGGGCGTTAGTATATAGAGGACAAGAGTCCAAACATATACGCTACCGGGTCTTTTTATTATTTTATTATTATTATTATATGTGATAGTTTAAATTATGGAGTTTGAGATTTTGATTTAATAAATTAATTAGTATGGATATAATAAGGTTTTTTATTTTTGTTGGGGGATGTTGTTTTGGCTTGAGACAGCCCATGCATCAGTTAGGGTTAGCTGCTGAGTGATGTGGACACATATTATTTGTTGTTTAAGAGCTGGAAAAGGACAAGGCAATTCAATGGGTGAGGGGCCAACCCATAGGGGGTTGCCCCCAGTGGACCCTGCCCCCGTTTTGGCCGCAACCACCGCCCCTCTCCAACCCACTGGTCCCTCCTCCACCCTCTTTCTTGGTCGCCCATCACTTAATACGGTGGTGGTGGCGGCGGCGGTAGTGGTAGCGACGACCAAGGAATTTAATTTTGGTATAATACTTTAAAATAATAATAATAATCACAAAATTTTCTATACCCATATGCTGATTGGCATGTGGTCGAAGATTTTGATATTCAGTATCATGATTCTTTATCTTTTTTTACAGTTAAATATGTTTTTATTATGAATAATTTTGTGTTTGGTGACCTCCGAAAGATTTTCGTGAGACTCATATATGAGTTGATCCTTCGATCTTGCAAACGATGATGGTGAAGGTTGGGAGGGATGATATGAAATGGTAGAAGACATGTGCGGAACCGAAAGAAACAAGACCATGCATCAATGTCGGATACCTTACACACCAAAGTCTAATTAAATAAATATAGATTGTGATAAGTCCTTGGTGTGTGTATATATATATATATATATTATATTATACCCAAAATTTATATATATTATGAACAATGGGTCAAGGGGGTCCCATGAACCCACCAAATTGATGGGCTGGTGAGTTAATTAAAAATTTATCCATTGTAAATAATATTTATATAATAAGAAAATGGAGAGAATAGGACATCTTGGAGATCAACTTTGGGGTCCAAAATTACGAGGTGAGAACAATTCAACATGTGGGACTACATCTATTTCGGTTTGAAATTAAGGCGTCACACTAAGTATCATATCATTTTATGAGGCCTCATTCTCTCGAGCTCTCAAATAGGTATGACTAAATTAAGGTTACAACAATAGGTATACATACTGTGTTGAGGCTCACAACTTCTTTGTTCGATACTTGAGAATTGAGAATTTTATTGGCATGATTAACTCTGATATCATCATGTTAAGAACCACAATCTCTACAATGGTATGATATTGTCCACTTTTAGCATAAACTCTGATGATGTAATGTTCCTTACTTATATACCCATAGTTTTCCTCTTATTTAGCCCATGTATACTACTCTTCTTATATACACCGTCTTCTTCTTAAACATCCTGTTGTTTGTTTTTTTTATTACCTTTAAAACTCAAATATCAAATATTTACGATTCACAACACATTGCTAATATCAATTACAAATGTCAAATATTCTTAATCTCGCTATTCATCTTAAAAGTAGAGTTGGATTAAAGTTGGTCGAGCTGGTTGCATTGACTCAACCAAACTAACCTACTAATTGAATTGAATTTTGTCGATATTCATCTCAGTTCAGTATATATATATAACCATTGGACAATTCGAATGGTTCGAGTCAATTAGTCATATGTTAATTATTGGGTAAATCGAATTTTTTAATTATTTTTCTAATGGGTAGAGATGGGAGGATTAATCTATGACGGATATAGTCTAACCGCCAAGTACAGCGCTAAAAGATATTGTTCTTTTTTAGTTCTCTCAATGTTTTTAAGAGAGGTTTTCACTGTTATAAAGAATGTGGGATCTCACCGTTCACCATTTTTAGGACCGAACGTCTTGGCTGACACTCATTCCACCTTCCGATCGACATGAGATCTCAGAATTTGACGCCTTTTCTATGGTCGATGGCATAAAAAAAGTTGTTCTAGAATCAATTAATCTATATCATGGAGGTGGACAGGATGACCCTCCAGGGATTTCCTTCACATGGAATCTTGGAAAAAAGAGAGATATGGTTGGCTATGGCGTTTTGTTAATGGCTTCATCACTGTCCCCTTCTAACTTTATTTCTCAATACCCTAATTCAAACACACAACAACCAGTGCAAAACAACAGTGGCAATCAAAAAAAGAAGATAAGAAACATATCCCTTTCCCCAGTTCTTCAAATATTGTTCCATTTTGTCTGTGTCACACTCAGAATCTTTCATAATTTACATATGATTCTTCTAACTTACTTCAAAATCACCCCTTGTTCTATCTGTTCAAGCTTTATATCTTCACTGTTCTTAAGAATCTCTAAGCTTTATGAGTGAGGATTTGATGGAATGCTTCATTAATGTAGTTTGGCATTTTGTATGAGCACAAAACAGTAGAAGTTTGACACACATTGCTGTGTACCAGTAACCCCGGTGTAGTTGTAATAGTTCAAATTTATTACGTGTGATATTGTCTGTTTTGGCCCGTTACGTATGGCTGCTAGCCTCGTATTTTAAAACGCATCGATTAAGAACAAGTTTCTATACGCTTATCTTCTTCAACCAAGGACACTGAACCCCAAATAAGGTATATTGTGAGATCTTACATTGGTTAGAGAGAAGAACGAAACATTTCTCGATATTTGCCAGTGTTAGGCTTGAGCTACTACGTTATCCTCCAAACTTCATTAAAAACTGTAAGACCCCTCATCGATTGAGGAGGAGAACAAAACATTGTTTATAAGTGCGTGGAAAACTCTCAGACGTGGATTGTGAGATCCCACATCGATTGGAGAGTAGAACCAAACATTCTTTATAATAGTGTGACAACTTTTCTCTATCATATGAGTTGTAAAGAACTTAAAATGAAAAAATTTGCATATATTAACAGATGAATGGAAATTACAAACATTAATGAAATTATATATGGTTTATCATCTAACACTAAAACATTTAATACATTTAAAGTAAATAAATTTATTTTCTGATCTAAAAAAATCACTGTAGATTCTCGAAACTTGAGCAGCCACAGAGGAACTATTCCCTGTGTTTGTCGTCCATTCATTTCCCCTACTTCCACTTTATTCAGCGTTTGTTCTTGTTCTTCAATGGAAGTAACACAAGTTGTCGCCAATCCCCGATGAAATTAGAAGCTTTCGTTTCTGTTCTTCCACATCCCATGATGAAACTTTAACGTAATCCTGAAAAAACATGTTTTTGTTTTTTAAGTAAATGATTATAAATGGAGAATTTTATAGTGAACCATAAAAAGAATGTAACTTTACCTGAGATGACGGGGAGTAGGCGGCCGGGCTCATCCCTGGTTGGAGTAGAAACATGCTATTAGCTGAAGGGTCCATTAGGGGAAAGTTATTTGGGGCGGAGATTGCCGGAGTTGGGGTGGTGTCGATCACCGGAAGTTGTGGCGTTATACTACTCAACGACGGCGTCTGTTCAAAAGAAGATTACATGAAACAAAGTTCACAAAGATTGAAGCTTTTTCAAAATCCATTTCATGGGTTTTCTTCTTTACCTCTGGTTGAATCATAAGGCCGTCCAAATCCATTCTGAAGTCGAAGAAAATTGGGTTCAAAGAAGCGAGTTTCATGGAGAGAAACTGAAAAAAATAATAATAAATAAATAAATAAATAAATAAATAAAAGAAGTTTATGGGTAAGCTTAAAAAAAAAAAAAAAAAAAAAAAAA